GCCCGGACGCTCAGCGGTGTGAGCTATCTGCCTGCCATGCTGAGTGCCCCACTTCTGCCTCTCCAGCCCAGGTTCTGGGCTCCCCCGTGGTTCTTAGTGCCAGCTCTGGATTCCCAGGTGTCCTGTTTGCAGCCAGCCCTACTCTCAGACCCGATTCAGGGCTTCCAGACAAAAAGCCACCCTTTCTCCCTGGGAAGCCTTGAAGGCCACCATCATGCTTAACTCAGGTTCCGCCCCATCTGTCTGGGGCAGCGGGGACTGGGGGACCCACTTCCAGGAGTGCGCTTTCACTCCGCCACGGAGCACCTCCACTTGCCATCTCCTGCTTTGGGGCTTCTCCCCACATGGCCGCTCAGAGCGTGCGTCCCGAGAGGCCCAGGGAGCTGCAAGGCCTCTTATGGACTGTGCTCAGAGATGGTGTTCTGTTGGCCAAACACACCTCCAAATCCAGAACAGGTTCTAGGGGAGGACCAGATCCCACCCCTCAGTGGGAGGAGTAGCAAAGAATGGTGTGCAGTCTTAACAGCCACAGGACTGGTGGGAGCTCTGTCCACCTGGATGCCTGGGACCCAGCCCCCATTGGAATAGGGAGTGTAGTGTTAGGATTTCTGGTCCCTGCAGTATAGGCAGTCACATAACAATGTGGAGGATGGGGTGGACGCCAGGGCAGCCAGTCTGCTCTATCCACCAGCTTCTGCTCAGTCGTGTCTTAGTGACCAAATTCTATGGCAGACTTCCCTTCATTCTTTAATCTAGACTGTCCTCTATGTCTAAGCTTTAAAGTGTTTTGACTGAGGGGCTGGGGCCGGAGCTCAGTGGTAGAGCACTTGCCTGGCAAGTGTGAGGCACTGGGTTTGAACCTCAGCACCACACATAAACAAATAAATAAATAAGATAAAGATATTGTGTCCACCTACAACTAAAAAAATATTTTTTTAAAAAAAGTGTCTTGACTGAAATGCAAAGTAAAAAAAAAAAATGTTTAGGACTGGTGGTGTGGCTCAGTAGCAGAGTGATTGCTGGGCATGCATGAGGCCCTGGGTTCAGCCCCCAGCACCACAAAAAGTGAGTAAATAAATACACACACACGTGCATACACATATATAGTTTATGTCAGAACATAGACTTACAGACACGGCAAATAAAAATTTCATGAAGGGCTGGGATTGTGGTACAGCGGTAGAGTGCTCCCCTAGAACGGGCGAGACCCGGGTTCGATCCTCAGCACCACATAAAAATAAAGGCATTGTGTTGTGTCCATCTACACCTAAAAAATAAATATTTAAAAAAATTTCATGAAACAATTCTTATTTTGCTGTGTTAATGTTTTCTTATAATTATCTATTCTATCCTATTCTTCTTGTTTTAAACAAAAATTCTGATTGTGCCAAGCACAGTGGCAGGAGGATCACAAGTTCAAAGCCAGCCTCAGCAACTTAGCAAGACCCTGTCAAAAAATAAAAAGGGCTGGGGATGTGGCTCAGTGGTTAAGTACTCCTGGGTTCAATCCCTGGTTCTCCCCCAACCCCTGCAAAAATGGTGATTGTGCCCCTATTTAATTAATTTCTTGACTCAATAATGGGTTGCCACCCACAAGTTTGAAAAGCACTACTAAACAGTCTTCAGTCTTCACATATAAATAGGGAATTTAAAAGGGAAAAAAATGAGGAAATGGGGAAAATTACATAAGAACAAAGAAAATATTCTTCAAAATAGATTTTCTTAGTCTGGAAGAAGTGCAGCGAAGGTGTCAGGGTCTCACCATCACTGGCTTCTGCCCTCCCAGACTCCCTGGGCAGCTTGCCCACTGCACCTCTGGCCTAGGAGTGCAGGGCTCATCCTGGGTCAGAAGAAGCCTCAGTGCAGTTGCAAGGTTTGGCCAGTGTAGTCAGTGGTCCCGCCCTGGCCAGGAGCGGGGTGTTCTTGACCGTCCGTTCCAGAGTGAGCGGACACAGGGAGGCCATCTGCAGGCCCTGCTCAGCCCTCACAGAGCAGGAGCCTCAGAGATGTTCACATTTGTTGTTGCTGCAGCACAAAAGCTGACTAATCTAAGAAGCAGCTTAATGAAAAAAGAAAACAAAAAACCAACCAAAAGCCAAAGCCCTCTTTGGAACACGCCAACAGTTCAGAAGTAAATAAAGTCAAACCAAGTTCCCCTCAATTCATCCCTTCTGCTCCTAAAGGGGAAGTTACTGACATCACTTTGGTGGTATCCTTTCAGAGAAAAATTTTTGAAATGAGTGTGTTCTAACTTTAATGAGAGAAGTACTAATTAGAAGAAAATATTTCATGACACATAAAAATGATGGGAAATTCAGGGGGTGGGGATGTAGCTCAGAGGTGGAATGTTCGCCCAGGGTGCACAAAGCCCTGGGTTTGAGTCCAGTACTGCATAGAAAGAAACTTGTGGGAACACAGCCATGCATATTTGTTTATATATTGTTTATGGCATTTTTGTGTTGAAACATCAAAGTTAAGTATTGTGACAGAGACTGAGCGGGCCACAAAGCCACAAGTATTTACTATCTTCACCAAAAAATGTTGCTGAGCCCTGACCTAGGTTTGTCAGCCTGGCCGTGTGCCTAGCAGTGGGTGTGTTGCGCCTCTCTCTCTCTTTCTCTCTCTCTCTCTCATACATGGATTTCCCCGAACCATTTAAAACCAAGCAGAGATGTTGTGGCACTTTGGCACATCACTGAGAGTAAGCACGACCCCCTGCATGAGGCACACTGTGTTGCTACTCCCAGAGGGCTAACGCTAGTGTACCTGGGAGGGGACACTGACGTCCTGCCTGCCTCCCCGCCCCCCCATGACAGCACGTGATTCATCACAAGGTGCGCAGAGGAGTGGTGTCTTTTTTCCTATTTTTTTTTTTTAATCAAACCCTATGCCAAGGGCTGACTTTTGAAGCTGCTCTGCTACATGCAGAGCCCCAAAGTGAAGTGGTCAGCCCCAGGTTGTGTGAAATTGGGGTCAGCTGCTATTAGTCTGGGTCAATCTCTCAGGAGTCCATTCCACAGGCTGTCCCTTGGTTTGGATTTCCCACTGTCCCTCTCAGTGAGAAGCAGGTCCGTGGGCTTGGCAGGCGTTCTGTACAGAGGGTGCCATGTCCCCATGGCTTCACACCTGGGGCTCACGCAGTCACTGTGTCCCTCGTGTGTGAAGGTTTATCTCTTCTTTGGGTGGTGCTGTTGCCAGAGTCCTAAGCCCAAGGCCTGACTCTGGGTGTCCCGACACTCGCCCCAAAAGCCAGAATAAAAACAATGATGGAAAACAGGAGAGGGATGTCAGTGGATATGGCCATGGGAGGTACGGTGGTCCAGCGCCGCAGCCCTGTCTGGGGTGCCCGGGAGGAGCCCAGACCACACAGAGCACACCCCGGGTGGGGGCTGAGAGTGTGCACCAGTAAACAGTCTAGTCAGACCCATGTGGTTGACTGTCTTTCAGTTCTGGTTCTGCAAGATGGCCTCAGAGAGGTCCCCTGGCTCAAGGGGACAGTTTCCACTCGCTGCTCCACGTTCACCTGTTGGACCTGTGATCCCAGCCAGGGCCAGTGTGATCCCACAGTTGGTTGCTGCTGCTCAGCGGGTCAGCCCAGTGCTGTTGCACTTGCTGGAGGGGGCAGGGCCATGAATGGAGCTGGGCAGGGAGCCGGGAGGGCTGGTGTTGGCGCCGCTGCAGATCTTGAAAATGCTCTGACCTTGGAGACTTCACCCTTGAGGTGGGAGAGGCCGACTTTGTAATCACCCTTGAGATGACTGGCATGCCTGGGTGCAGAGTGGAGCAGGAATCCCACCCCAAGTTCACGGCAGTAAAGGCGAGATATGGAACGAGGGCCCAGCTGCCGTGCTTCCTCCTGACTTCAACTGCCTACTGACCACCTGCAGGCCCAAGTGAGGGGTCAGTGCTTTGGGTGAAGGGAGCCTCCCTCTCCCTGTGGCAGCTCTGCCAGCTGTACCTGCTGAGAAGATGGTTCTTGTCCCTCGGTAACGAATAAGTGACCTGTGGGGAGATTCTTTGAGCTCTGCAAATAATCTGTTCCACACTGCCTTTTGCCCTGTGGTTGTGACCTCCGTTCTTGCCCAAGTCAATGTTATGGAAGATGGAATTGGACATCGATCATTCTTTTTTTTTTTGGGGGGGGGAGCTTAATCATACTGTTCTCTTTATTTTTGTGTATTTGTGAGGATTTCCATACTAAAATATTTTTAAAATTGAGTTTTGTTTTGATAGTGTTATACTATAAAACATCAAAAATTTCCTTCTTTATGAAGATTTCCAGACAGAAAAATAGAATTTTCTGATGGACCATTAATTAGTACATTAACTTAAATCTTCTAACAGTTATTTAGAAACTGACAACGAAAAATAATTTTTAAAAGATTGTACAAATTACTGTTACTATATCAATAAAAGACCACCAAAAGTTGGAATTTTAAGCCAAAAGCAGAAATGTTTGATAAATCTAACATTAAATCTAGGTAAGGGTGTGGGCTATAGAGTCAATAAGATCTAGGTGTATATTCTAGCTCTGCTCTGTTAGTCCTAAATATTTTTTGGCAGATCATTTAATTTCTGTGAACCTCAGGAACCATGTCTATAATGTGATAAGATTTCTTGATTAGTAAAGCACAGACCACAGGGCCTGGCACGTGGTAAGTATTCAGTAAAAGATTCCAGTAAATCTACTACCCCATTTCGGTCTTAAATGCATATTTTTCCATATTCTAACATCTCTGAAATTGAGATGTATCCTATAATTGATGGCATTAATTCAAGGAGTTTTCCTTCCTTAGTGGTATATAATAGGATAATGGAGCATTATAACAAATTGATAGCATCTAACATTCAATACAACATGGAATATCAATCACGATAAAGCTGTATTCCCAATTTCTACTTTAAGACTATTCTGAATAATGATTATGATTTAAAAAAAATTCAAAAGCTGAGCAAAATATTTTCAATACATCATGAACAGAACAATTTTGAGACAATAATTTTGTAAAAAATGGTTTATCAATTCCATTTTTGTATAAAACATATGGGAGAAACCTAGCCAATCAACACACACTGTCACCACATGAAAAGGTACTTTATCAAACTTCGAGTCTAAGAACATACAAATGTTTCTTTTAGCATGTCTACAGTAATTGTCTATGCCTTTCCATTTAACTGTTTTTTAAAATTCCACACATCCCCGCTGTTATCTTCTGTCCCAGTTACAGTACAATGACGGGGAGGAAGAGGATTGGTTAAAACAACCCTCTAAGCAGTTTTCTGCTGTCCCTTCTTTCCAATCAGAGATTTGTGGATATGAGGGATCACACCACCCCCAGCTATTGTAGCCTTGATAAGAGAATCCAACTCTTCATCACCACGGATTGCAAGCTGCAAGTGACGTGGAGTAATACGCCTTACTTTGAGATCCTTGGAAGCATTACCTGCCAGCTCCAGCACCTCAGCAGTGAGGTACTCCAGAATCGCAGCACTATATACGGCAGCAGTGGCACCCACCCGTCCATGGCTTGAGGTGCGAGTCTTCAAGTGTCTGTGGATGCGGCCCACAGGAAACTGTAGTCCAGCTCTTTGTGAGCGAGACACTGCCTTGGCCTTGGCCTTCCCACTATCCTTTCCAGCTTTGCCTCCAGCCATGGTCTCCGCCGCCTCTGCCTTCGCTGGGCCGCGCGACCACCCGCTGCCGCCCCGCGCTGCCGCAGCCGCTCTCGCAGCTCCGATCGCCGCCGCCGGTCGGGACAATCTCGATCATTCTTTTAATGGTCCTCAGTGTGTTTTAAGGTGCAACTAGTGTTTGAAATCATACTAAGCTATGGCTTCTCAATCTGTGTTCACAAATTCCTTGGAGATCCTCACAGAATGTACCAGAACAAAAAAACAAAACGACTCAGGGGGCCAGGGTTGTGGCTCAGTGGTAGAGTGCTTGCCTAGCGTGAGTGAGGCACTGGGTTCAATCCCTGGCACCACATAAAAATAAAAACAAATAAAATGAAGGTATTGTGTTCATCTGCAACTTAAAAAAGAAGAAAAAACTTAAAACAAAAACTACTCAGCAGGACTGGAGTAGGTCCAAGATGATGCCTTTCTAACAAACGGGTTAGGAAGTCCCAAGTATTGCCAATATTGTCGACCCAGACGGGCTACACTTTAAATGTGCAGAGTGGGTCCAGGCCCAGGTGTCTTCCCTGGCGTATTGGCCTAAAGTGTCCTTGGGATTCCCCCTTACAGACATCAGAAAGCACTCCAGCTATTGCATAGAAAAGGCATTTGTGAGTGAGCACTGAGTGACCCTCAGAGCCCCTGGGAAGCTGGATCTCCAGAGTGATGCCCAGACCTTACTGCAGAGCTGACCATTCTTCCCACTGCCGGGCACTGAACTGTGAGCACCAGTACCAGAGGCCCACATCCGTGGCACCTGCTATGACTCCCAGCACAGTGCCTGGAGCTCAACCTCACAGCTGCGCCAGCCTGGGTGTCTCTGTTGACACCCTCACCAGCATTCCACACAGCCCGCTTTGTCCTGCCGCTTCTGTCTGAAGTCTCGCACACGTAGGTTGTGTTGGTGGAGCTGATGCCACCTGACCAAATGCTTCCTCAGCTTCAAGGAGCTGGGAGCTGGTGGCTTCTGGCTCTCTCTTGGGTAAAGCCAAGAACCATGCAGCAGGAAGTCCCCCCACACATGCAGCTCCAAACACAACAGATATGCATGCAGCTATTTAAAAGAATAAGCACGAAACTAATAAATAAATAAATAAAATAAAAGAATAAGCACGACCACCACTGAGGAGTGACGATAGAGTGACAATAGAGGCTGTCCTCTTCCACTGGAAGACAGCGTCAAGCTGTAGGGATGTGTGATGGTGAGCGAGAAGAGCAGATGTGTTCATGTGTACATGTTGCTTTTGGGAAGATGGATTTAGATAATGTCTCACACCTTACATAAAAATTAATAGTCACCTTTATGTTTTCAATGTTTGTATGATGTGTGGCACTGGTGATTGAACAGGGGCCTTGTGTGTGCTAGGCAAGCGTTCTACCACTGAGCTCTGTCCCCAGCCCTCAAACTGATTTCTTAAAACCATTCAATACTAGAGGAAAATGTCAAATCTCATGATGAAATAGAACTCTTCAAGTTTAATAGTATTAGAATAACTGATAAACAAAAATGAGTGACTTTGCTTTTGTAAGACGGAGAACTTCTTGAAATCCAGGCGGGCAACCCACTGAGGAATATGGAGTGAATGCAGCAGACGCAGGGCTGGAGCCTTGGCCATGTTAGAAGTTCACACAGTGGGTTGTAGACACTGCTAAGGGCACTGGAGGACACAGCCAGACAGCCCACTTAGGGGAGGCCGGTGACAGGCCGATGACCTGGGAGTGAGACAGAGGTGGCTCGGTACACAGAGGTCATAGTAAAATAAATTGATAAAATAGATATGCCAATATAAAACATCCCATTTTAGGGCAAAACAGGGCACAATTGGGGCACTCAAGAATGATGACTGCAATGGGTTGGAACATAGCAAGAATGCTGTGATCTAAGCATGCTTTTGAGCAAGAAACAAGAGTCAGCTTCTAGGGTGCCAATTCAAAGGAAGGAAAGAATTAAACCTCGTTCTTACCTTTTCTCAGGATATCCAAAATGTCCTTTTTTCAGAAAGTGTAAGATTATAAAGATCACCACTGAAATAATGAACTCAGGCAGTGATTATGGACAGTTGTTGAGCATTGAGCTGAAAACTGATGGGAGCTTCATAATAATGGACAGAACTGCTGAACCCCATCAATGTAAGCATCGCACCAAGGGGCAACCAGACATTTTGAGGCCTTTGTTATGAAGTAGTGGAATCACACCATCATCAATGAAGTTTTTTGGTTTTTTTTTTTGTACTGGGGATTATACTTAGGGGCACTTGACCACTGAGCCACATCCCCAGCCCTATTTTGTATTTTATTTAGAGACAGCATCTCACTGAGTTTCTTAGCACCTCTCTATTGCTGAGGCTGGCTTTGAATTCATGATCCTCCTGCCTCAGCCTCCTGAGCCACTGGGATTACAGATGTGTGTCAATGCACCCAGCTACCAATGAAGCATTCTTGCCAAAAGTTAGACAGGAGTTCAGTCACACCTTCATCTGGGATAACAGAAATGGGGAGCCTAAAGAGACATGTTAAATGACAGCATAAAGAGGTAGTCAGGGAAATCCAGTTTGCAGGAAATTTACAAAGCCAGCAAGTAAGGACTCTGTCAGCCACGGCCTTCTTGGGATCCCGATTTGAAGAGGTCAGTGTAATTTATAATGAGGAAGACTCACATGTACCAAGGATTAAAGGTACTAAGGCACAGCACCTCTGTAGTCCCAGAAACTTGGAAGGCTGAGCAGGAAGAAGATGGCAAATTCAAGGCTAGCCTGGGCAATTTAGGGACAGGGTTAGGGAGACCCTGTCTCTCCACAATTTTAAAATGAAAAGGTCTGGGATGTGGTCCAGTGGTGATGCATCCCTGGGCTCACTCCCCAGGACCAACGAACAAATCGTAAGATTAACGCACAATCATTACTGGCACTAGGTGTGGTAGAGGAATTGTGTCAGAGTTTCATTTTATTTCAAATCCTTGTCAGCTAGAAATACAGGTTAAATTATAGATTAAAATGCTCTAGAGAGGGCTGGGGTTGTGGCTCAGTGGAAGAGCGCTTGCCTAGCATATGTGAGGCCCTGGGTTCTATCCTCAGCATCACATATGAATAGACAAATAAAGGTAAAAATCCATTGGCAACTAAAAAATATTTTTTTAAAAAAGCTCCAGGGAAAACATTGAGGGTTGAGTTGTAGATACATGAAACAAGAATGGAAAAATCCTTGTCCCTGCGGTTCAGTGAGGCATTGTATTCTCTGAGGTCTTTTTAATACTGGCTCAAGTTTCTATGGCAAGAAGTTTAGTAAGGTGCAATACCACTCAGGGCCGTGGTGCAGCTCAGTGGTACAGTGCTTGCCTAGCATGCAGAAGCCTGGGTTCAGTCCCTGGCACTGCTAAAAAAAAGCAGAAAGGAAGTGCCTGTCACTTGACTCTGTGACTCTCTTCTTGAGGTTCTATCTTCAGAAACATAAAATAAAGAGAAAAACTTTTATGTACAAAGATATCAATTCAACCAATATTATGAGTGTCAAAATGAAAAACCATCTAAGTGTCAGCAGCAGGACATGATTTTGTGAGCCATGCACACCCTTCAAGGAACTACCTTGTAACCATCAGAAAGCAATGTCTAGAAGGAGTCGTGATCGTACAACAAAGTGCATATGTTAAAACATCAGGTGCAACTAACAGATTAGAGGGTTTATATAAATGATTATACCAGTCAGCTTTTGCTGTGTAACAAACTACTCCTAATTGAATGGCTTAACATTATAAGCATTTGCTATTTCCCTTGCTTTGTGGGTGTTTTTATCAGCTTTTTCACTGCTAGGACCAAAAGACCTAGCAAGAACAATTAGAGGAGGAAAAGTTTATTTTGGGGCCCATGGGTTCAGAGGTCTCAGTCCATAGATGGCCAACTCTCTTACTCTGGGCCCAAAGTGAGGCAGAACTTCATGGTGGAAGAGCGTGTTGGAGGAAAGCAGCTCAGGACTTGGCACCAGGAAGCAGAGAGATCTCCACTCACCAGGGACAAAACATAAACCCCAAAGGCACACTCCCAATGACCCACCTCCTTCAGCCACACCCCAACTGCCTGTGGTTATTACCCAGTTAATCCCTATCGGGATTAATGCACTGATTAGGTCAAGGCTCTCACAACCCAATCATTTCACCCCTGAACCTTCTTGCATTGTCCACATATGAGCTTCTGGAGGACAACTCAAGTATAGACCATAACAGTGAGTCTGGATGTGTGGTGGCTGGGCTGGTAGTCAGGGATGACATCCTTACACATCTGGTGATTGGTAGGCTGATGGGCTTAGGAGGGCCTTATTCAGGACAGTTTATCTCTGTTCCACATGGTCTCTTCTCCTCAAAAAGGTTAGCTGCAACTGCTTCTCAGAGCAGTTTTGCAGTTCTGAAGAGTAGCAGGAGAATTAGCCCCAAAGGGCAAGCACTTTTCAACCCTCTCCTTGACACACATTTGCTAATGACACATGTCGGGATGTCAGCAGGGCTGCCCAGTTCCCCACTTTCTTCATGCATACTGACCAAGAGCCTTGATAATTGTGTTACCCAGCCAGCTGCAGCGTTTTCCAGTAAGCTTGAACCCAAACCGGGGCCTGAGCCAGATGCTGATAAATGTATCTAAGTTGTTGCCCAAAACACAAGCCCTAGCTCTGAGCCAAATTCTTTAAACCCTCATGCTCCATACCCTGCTATACCTTGGAAGAAGTTCCATCCTGTAAATGTTGTGAAGATGATTGCGAGCATTCTGTAAGATCTCTCAATAAACTCTGTGCAAAGTGCTTGCCTCACGAACGTGAAGCCCTGGGTTTGATCCCCTGTTCCAAAAAGAAAGGGCTAAATACATAAATAACTCTGTGGTGCTTCTTTCTTTGGAATCCCAAAGCCCTATCTCAGGATGGTTTGGGGCACTGCCTTGTGGGAGCTCCCCAGCCGTTGGTTTGGGGGCAACTCAAACCCCAGAGGCAATGCGGGAGGGCCTGACTCAATGGCTGGGATAGGAGGACATGCAAACACACTGACAGCCCTTACTGTAGGATTCTCAAGAATGTTCTTGTTTATAAGATTTTTTAAAA